TGTATGTAACATGTATGTAACATGTATGTAACATGTATGTAACATGTATGTAACATGTATGTAACATGTATGTAACATGTATGTAACATGTATGTATGTAACATGTATATATGTAACATGTATATATGTAACATGTATATATGTAACATGTATATATGTAACATGTATATATGTAACATGTATATGTAACATGTATATATGTAACATGTATATATGTAACATGTATATATGTAACATGTATATATGTAACATGTATATATGTAACATGTATATATGTAACATGTATATATGTAACATGTATGTAACATGTATATATGTAACATGTATATATGTAACATGTATGTAACATGTATATATGTAACATGTATATATGTAACATGTATATATGTAACATGTATATATGTAACATGTATATATGTAACATGTATGTAACATGTATGTAACATGTATATATGTAACATGTATATATGTAACATGTATATATGTAACATGTATATATGTAACATGTATATATGTAACATGTATATATGTAACATGTATATATGTAACATGTATATATGTAACATGTATATATGTAACATGTATGTATGTAAACATGTATGTAACATGTATGTAACATGTATGTAAACATGTATGTAACATGTATGTAACATGTATGTAACATGTATGTAACATGTATGTAACATGTATGTAACATGTATGTAACATGTATGTAACATGTATGTAACATGTATGCATGTATGTAACATGTATGTAACATGTATGTAACATGTATGTAACATGTATGTAACATGTATGTAACATGTATGTAACATGTATGTAACATGTATGTCACATGTATGTCACATGTATGTCACATGTATGTCACATGTATGTCACATGTATGTAACATGTATGTTACATGTGTGTAACATGTGTGTAACATGTGTGTAACATGTATGTAACATGTATGTAACATGTATGTAACATGTCATGTATGTAACATGTATGTAACATGTATGTAACATGTATGTAACATGTATGTAACATGTATGTAACATGTATGTAACATGTATGTAACATGTATGTAACATGTATGTAACATGTATGTAACATGTATGTAACATGTATATATGTAACATGTATACATGTAACATGTATACATGTAACATGTATATATGTAACATGTATATATGTAACATGTACATATGTAACATGTATATATGTAACATGTATATATGTAACATGTATGTAACATGTATGTAACATGTATGTAACATGTATGTAACATGTATTTATGTATGTATGTATGTATGTATGTAGGTAGGTAGGTAGGTATGTATGTATATATATATTTATGTCATTATCCCCAATATTTAAATGCTAAAGAAAATCAGTACCCCCAATATTCAATGCCCACAAAAAATGGGTGCAAATCCCTAATAATTAATTGGTTTACAAGTTCCAAAGCCCACCATCGTTTTCCCAGTGTTTTTTTGGTCTGATATCTCCATAAACTGGAGAGACGCAACCGTGGTTTCTCATCATTCGCCCCATTGTTTCATGGCGTGAAATGGTGAAAACAATTGGGCGTAAAGACATCATTTTTGGACAACCTCCAAAAATGCGAAGGTTGATGACATTTGACATTCTCTTTTGAGTGCTTGCTTGAAGCCCATACGCTGAGTGTTTTCTCCTTTCATGCTGAACAAAAATAATGGTTCAATATTGCCTTTTGGTTGATAAACGAGGGGATCACAAAATACTAATGATTTTTGTCTGCATCATCTTTGGCTACCTTGGTTCCCTATTTTCCAGACTGTTGTCTCAAAATGATGCATCCTAAAACGACATATGGTTTCAGATCCAATGAAATGATCAACAAATTGATGTCCACTGTTTCCTCCATTGTTTCCTCCATTTCTAGCATTTCTCCATGGTTTCCTATTCAAAAATCTACCGATGCCTAGAATGGGCTTCCCATTGAATATCCAGTCATCTCCAGGTTCCCCATGAATTCCACCATTTTCCCATCCCATGGCTCCAGCGTGACGTTCTTCCGCTTCGCGGGAGCAATGGCTTCTTCGAAGCCTCTTTCGTGGAAAAGGTGACTTTTCACCAATGGCTGGCAGGTCCCAATTTTCGATCTTACGTCTTACGTGTATATATATATATCTACCATAATTGGCTAAATGAATGTATTGAATGTTGGATCTTTACGTGTTAAAATTGGATCAACTATGTAACTATGACTAAGAGTTCATTTAACCAATAATTCACCAATAAGCAAGATTCAACATGATTCAACGAAATAGTTTCTTAGATATCTTTAAAGTTGGATGCCAATATGGATTTCAACGGAATCAATGGCTCTTTCCACTGACCACTTTTGGGATATCATCCAGGTCCGTGATCTCGGTGACATCCCAAACATTCGCATCGCTGAAATGACCCAAGCACGACAAACCGGGTCAACATCCCATCTTTGCTCAGAGAAAGCCTCTCCCATCTTTTAACGCTTTGCGAACTGGAAAATCACAATTTTTAGTAGGTATGTAAACCATCATAAATCATCTATGAATCGATGGGCCATGGCTTCCAGTTCGCTACGTTAAACAACCAGCTGGGTAAATCTTCAGGGATTGTTGAAATCCACATCTGCCAGGGCACACCACTCCGCGGCGACCTGGAGCGATGCGGCTTCCGCGGCTAAGCCGCAGTAAAAATGGGGGGCATGGCCGCATGGCCTCTAAATCTATATACCAAACATGGGACACCTATTGGAAAATATAGGAAAAGAGCCACATTAAATGTATGAAATTTATGGGAGCCAAAACTCACTGGAGATGTGATCTGAAAAATAAAGTGTACATGCCCATCCAAACACAGTTGCATGTCCAACAGAAACCATAGCTAGACTGCTTTTAAGACCATACAGTTGGGATCAGGGTAATATATAGCGCAATATTCCAAACAAAGGTACATTTGCTATATGTCCATTGTTGCTGGTTGTGCTCCAAAGGGAAACCAACGGGCAAGAAAGCAAGAATCGTGCGGATAAAGCCAAGAAAGAGATGGCTGGTCATGGATAGATAAGCAGCGATATGGTGAGTCAATAGATTGATTGAAGTGAAAATCTAAAGGAAACTATGACTTGCACCATCAGTTCAAAGCAACCATACTGGAGTGCATATAACTGTATTTTTTGACAAGCAAATGATCGGGATATCAATCTATTTTGGTTGAAATGTTCCACTCATCCTACAGAACGTTGATCATCAGTGTCAAATATGGCTGAATATTGAAAAACAAGAAGAACCTACAACAAGCATCTCAAAAATATAAGTCAACAGGCTAACAGGGACATTCATCTATAATATGGTCAAAAAGTGCAACTCAAAAAATCGCTAAAGGGTGAATCTCCCAACATCCCGTGTGCCAAAGGTATCAGGACGAGCTGGGTTCAAAAGTTACGTGTTTTGATTGGGTTTATAGGCCAGGAAAGGTAACCAACAGCGATGATGACCTCAACAACCAGTCACAATGATATGAATGGGTACTACCTATGATCATGAAGGTACAATGATTGTCAGTTTCTATGAGAGTTCTTCACCCCAGCTGTAGTCAGTGTCATTGGGAAATCTGGTCGACCAGCAATGGCTCTCAAGATCCCAAATTCAAGGAAACCAATCCCTTCCCATCACTTCCCTCTGAAAATAAACAGAGCAAAGACCCAGCAACTACCCTCTGGTTATGTCAAAGGTTTGCTATTGAAAATGGCCATTTATAGTGGATTTACCTACTAAAAATGGTGATTTTCCCATTAAAAATGGTGGATCTTTCCATCGTTTTTTACAGCTGGGGCCCCTCCGTAAAAGCTTGGTGGGATCAACGCGCGGAAGTCACCCGCGCAACCGTGGCTGGCCTGGTAAATATCCGACTTTGGTGCTGAATAATCGTGGGATTATTTGTGAGTTGGAAAAATATTAGGATGTAAAAAATGAAACAAGATGGGAAAAATAGATGGGACATTGTGTATCAACCAATGAAATTGGGATATTGTTGATTCCCACCGTTTTGATAGTTGATACACGTTGTTTCACCCATACAAACACAAACAAATAAGCTCACCACAACCAAATTTCGCAAACAAGATCCCAAAGGTGCATTTTAAGGCGCAGGGGATTTAGATGTTTCATCGTGTTCAACCAAAACTAAATTCAAATGATGTGAAGGTATCCGATACAACCTATCAGATGATGTCAAGGTTGCATGTACAGTACATTATAAGATCTACATTTTGAACAGTACATTTAAAAAGTATCCTCATTGAGCAAATTCAGTGCGGTCGCATGATTCCCTAGGACAACATGACCAGAGTACCAGTTGTTGCCTGTGGATGTCGCGGCCAAGTAGCGAAACGATGTAAGGAAACCATGACTGCAACGAATATAGCAACGGCGCCATGGTTCCGCATGATTTGCGAAATGACAATGTAAGGGCCTCAAGACTCTTGGTAAAACAAGACAAATAGTATCGGATATATTAACTTAGTGGGTTGGGTCAATATTTCGCGAAATTTTTGTTGATAAAGAACATACTAGATGATTATTCTTCGGCGATATTGGATTGTTGGATTGTTTCCCAGCACACATTGGGAAGATAAGTTTAAAATAACGGACGCAACTCTACATGTTCAGCATGGTTTTCCTAAACAAATGCAACTCTACAAACTCGACATCTCCCCATAGCACAGGTGACCCAGGTGACCTGGGCCAGAAAGCGGCCCTGGCATGGTGACCTGAAAATGATTTCTTCCACGCTATGGTATGGCCACTGAAAAAAATCTGCAAGAAGAAATAATAGTTACATAGGAGCAAGATCATGGGAGTAACAATCCTCACATCCTACCTTTAGTATTCTTTAGTTTGCATTTTTTTGATAAAAACAATGGAAATAGTAGTTACACAGGGGTAAAGTTGGGCCCACCTCCCCACAACGTTTACGCTGTGCGTTCTTTTCAGCGCTCCTTTTCCGCTGGTGCCGTTTCACATCACAATGCGGTGCTGCGTGTAGATGCATGCCTGATGATTTGGTGATGAGCAATATCAAAAGAATAAACTACTCTGAGACTCTGATGTCAAAAGTGGAGATGCAAAATGCAAAGATTCAACTCAAGTTGAGAACGACTAATTATTTGCACACGTTGTCTGCCAAAACTCAAGGCACGCTGCCCTGAAAAAGTTGAAGCGCTCAAACTAAGAATAGACTCAAGTTCCCGCTCAATGCTTGAATGCCAACGTCGGGAACTTGTTTGGTTGTGAGCTTTCGCTTGAATCAGCTTGAACCGGGAAGAGATGATTTGTTTTGGCAAATGCCATCCAAATAGAAGTAGTGAAGATATACCAGCCTTCTGAAGATTGACAGGAACGATCGCAAGCTGTCCCGCACCTGGCCCGCTGGTGCTCTAGTGACACACTGCTACACTCCAAGTTTTACTGGAGAATTTGTTAAACTCGCTGGTGGTTCTATCCCAGTCTGCTTGTTTGATAAACCCGTAGGTTTGCTGGTGAACATCCCCTTTTGTTCTTGATGAAAGCAGCCAAACCCATGATGTCATCCTGGAACGCCACTTCCAGAAATAGAAGGTGGTTTAGCCCTGGTACGCCTCGGATTCACACCAAAGATGCTTGGAAATCAAAGCCATTCACCATCAGTAAATGTCATGGCATGATATGGGACGATTCGAATTCACACCAAGCTGACAAGCCATTTGTTGTGGTTTCCCCATTAGTTTCTGCTTGCATATGAAAAACTAAAAAAAAACGATTATTGATGGATGGAGGATCATTCCCCATGGGGAAACAGCAACCACCATGGTCAAAACCATGGCAGATTGACGACTCAGCGAGGCATGAAGCATCAGCGGCTGCGATTCTGAAGAGCCTGGGCGCCCATCCGCAGATCACAATCAATTGTGACAATTTCTGTTTTCTGAAAGATATGTTTGTTACAGTAATTTTCAAGGAGGAGAAGAAGGAGAAGAGACACAGCGCACACCCACGCCCCCGCAGTCCTCATCATACTGGCTGCATTGCTACTCGTGCTACGTGTTGAACTCTTCAATCGCAGAAGCAGAAAGGCCCGCTTTGCAATGGATGGCTTGCACACACGGACTTCTGACTGCATGGCAAAAGATCTTGTCTTCTTCTTACACTTCCTTGTCTCGCCTTTGGCGAAATGGGAGAGCCGAGGAAAGATATCCCACTCGCCGAGCTTCAGTCCTTCCTCTCCAAATGGTAGAACGAAGACTTGGGCCTTAGCTCTCTGGAGAGCGGAGTTTTCGCCAGGAACTGCGCGGATTTCCTTCCTTACCGTGATGTAACGAGGCAGCCATCGTATCGGGATATCAAAATATGGGTCAACTTGAGCATGCTTCCCTTTGGTGTGGCAACTCCCGCCGATGCTGGACAACGCAGAACCTGCCATGCTTAAAGCAGCATCCGAGATACTGCGGATCACTTGAGGCTCCATCCAGGTTGGCGTAAACTTGTTCATCTGTCTCATACCATGAGAATAGCTGGAGGTCATATCACGATTCGAGTGGAAGGCGATCCAACTATATAACTGGTCAGAGATCTTGCAACCACAATGGTGCAAGCCAGGGAGCTGGTTGAGATGACATGCCAAAACTGTATGCCGCGAATCGGTTCTTCAGGATGGGCCTCAAACAGCAAAGAACGTGTCAGACTCGGAAAACAAGGACCTCTTGTGAGCTGGCTCTGCTCCTTCCATCTCTCACTATCTCTCAATGCTGCCGCAGCGTCTCAATTGTGGCCGCTTCACGTCTGAGGGATGGTAAGAACAGAGCAATCACGGGTCTCTACAGTGGAAAGCTTGGCGGCCCTCATTGTACACACAGGGTGAAAGGTTTGAGCCTTTGGTGGGTGACGGAGGGGACCTAAGCCAACGCCCAACCTGCCACACCCATGGTTGGTGTTTAAGCTGTCACGGCTGTCACCGTGTGAGGCCCTAGACCATCACGTCTTGGAACCTGTCAGGCCTGCGCCAATCCCCGGCAACGTGCTTTTGGCATCAAATGTTCCTCTCTACAGGCACCGCCCTGAAAACGTTCAAGCTATAATTCAGCATTAAGACATGCAGACATGCACATCGTTGTCCAAATTCTGTACAAAATACTGCGGCAAACAGTTTCTGAATGGCTCTCCTGGCATTTCCCGCAAGATATTTGGCTTGAACTGTGTCTGCACTCTTTGGTTTTGAGTCTTTTTTGCAAATTTCAAAAGTTTTCTCTTCTGGGAATCTCGATTTGTACAGCTGGCTGATGGTGAAGCTTCTGCCTGTGGAAAACGTTCTTCTGTGCACGTAGGTCCCTCAAGCTACGGCTGCAGAGAAGACAGTTCTGTGCACCAATCTTTTCATGCTAGATTTTGTAAATTCAGCCTTCGGTCCGCACAAAACTGCCGAATCAGTGAGTCAACCATCCACTGCAACAGCTGTCTGCATGTCCTCAACTGAGTCTGCACTCTTTGGTTTTGGCATTTTCTTGCCAATTTCAAGAGTTCATCTTTCGACGATGCTCGATTTGCACAGCTGGCTGACAGTCGAGCTTCTGCCTGTGGGAAACATCCTTCTGTGCACATAGGTTCCTCAAGCTATAGCTGGATGGTAGACAGCTTCTTGGCACCAATCTTTTCATGCTCGATTTTGCGAACTCAAGCCTTCACTCAGGCGAGACTATAGAATCGATGAGCCGACTGTTTACTTTTACGATGTTCTATATCTATCAACTCAGGTCAGGTAAACTCATGGGGCTACTTGTGATCATAAATGCTTGCTTGCATTTGAAGCTCCCGGCCTTGGGTTGGCAGCAAGTATCCTGGTCGCATAGTGCTAAAGGATCCGTGATGTATGCGGGTTGCTGGTACTTGTTGGAGGTCTGCCAATCAGCCATCTATTTTTTACGCGAACCAACTCCATCCAAAATACAAATCCTTTGGGACTGTGAAAGGCGAAAGGCGAGTCTAGCGAGTCTGAAAGGAATTCACGAGCCTGACTGAAACCTGTCTAAGCCCAACATCCTCCTGCTCTCTTGCTCCTACCGAAGTGGAAATTGCCGCGGTTAATGACTCCTCATGCAACAGTTCTGTTTCGAAAGCAAAATCCATAGATATGATAGATATCGGATTGGCAATGCAAGTTGCCCTAAGTGCTTCAGGAATTCATGCTGTGATTCATTTCGCCCTCCTGTCCACTGAAAACAGAGCCGACGTGTGCCACCAATCCTCCTAAGAACGGCAACAGCACGGCCAAGCGAAAGGATGTCAGATTTCATGCAGCCAGATTCTGGGCAGCTCCAGGCATTGCTGAATGATTGAAACTTAAAAGACTTAAAAGCTCAAAATGATTGGCTGCTTGGAAGCAAAAACTCTAAACAAGCCTGGTGCCATGCATTAACCACCGTGTCGTCTTGCCACGCCTATGGCTGCACCTCGCCATGAGCTATAACCAACAGTGTTGAAAAAGTTTTCGGTCCGACAGCCAACGACTGGATTTCGCACCATGTCGTGTCACTTTTCTTTGCAGCTGCTGGACAAGACCACGATGCGACAGGGATGCAGATTCTCTCGTACACAAAGGCTCTGCACAAGCAAAAGTGGCTTTGGCATGTTCAAACCTGGAAAATTCAAGCAATGTTTGGTCTTGAGAAATTCAAGTGTTCACAAACCTGTATCCGAGCGTTGAAAGCAGTCCCAAAATGAAAAAACGCAACGGTGATGACCCGAATCCTTTCAATCTCAGGAGCAAATCTATGAGAGGACTTGACACAGAATCACTGATTGGTTGGGGCTGGAAACAATGGTCTGGATGCAAGGAATATCTATTGATCCTTATCAAGGCAGGTCACAGGCGGAAAACCAATGTGTACCAATAATTGGATTCCGACCAGTCAGAGACCGATTATCGCCTCGAAGTTTTATCAAAAGGAAACTGCGGCCAGTCTTCTTGCGCAGCCAAGCATCGACCCACGGACCAAAACGGGGTTTTGGAAAAAACACGGCGCTACTGCTGCTAGTTGTCAGCTTCACATAGGCCTTAAGCAACTCAGCTCAAATGGAAACGTCTGCAGCATCCATCTTCACTGGTGCTTGGCAGCCACCTTTGCTCCTCATGCTCCTACTCCAAGAACCCTCCCCTTCTTTTCCCACAACACAACAGAAACAGGAAACTCACAGCTTTCTGCATGTCCTCCACTGAATCTGCACTATTTGGTTTTGACCATTTCTTGCCACTTTCAAAAGCTTATCTTCTAGGAATCTCAATTTGTACAGCTGGCTGACAGTTGGGAAACATCCTTCTATGCACATAGGCTGCTTAAGCTGCAGCTGTACAGTAAACAGCTTCTTGGCACCAGTCTTTTCATGTTCGATTTTGTGAATTTAGGCCTTGGCTCAGGCGTGACTATAGAATCGGTGAGCGGCAGGTCAGGTAAACTCATGGTACTACTTATGATCATAAATTCTGCAGGAGGTAATCCCTGGTAATTCATTCTTACATTCTGGTAAATTCACATAGGCCCTTAAAATAACAATTTTTTAATGCAAACCAATCTTCCAACCCCTATCTGACAGGGTCATTGTGAATTTACTGGAGAGTATCATGTACAGTGCCATAAAGTCAAGTGCAATGTCGCACAAAAAGGTCCCCCCTTCACCAAAGTCTTGCGAGAAAAATCACCAACTTCCCCTCGAAAAAGAACATGCCTCCAATCAGGTTGAGGGATCAATTTGGTTTCAGACCCCATCTCGATTTGCACCACGGCAGTCTTTTGCATTTGCACCGCATTTCTGAGCTGCCAACCTCTGATTGGTCCTTGTCTGACAATCCTGCAGGGCTAGCACCAAAGTCTGTGGGAGCATCCATGCTGTTCAAGTTTGGACCATGAATTGGCATGGCCTGTCGAAAGTCACATTGTTTCAATATCGCTTGATCTTGGGGGAAAAAAAGAATATGTTTGGACGCTCGTTTCGCCTTTCAGGCGCCATTCGTCTCAGGCGATGATTTCTTGACAAAGTTCTTCAAATGCCAACCCGTTCAGATTACAAGATGGAACAAATCTCTCAAGAATCAAGACTGTTCTGTTCTTCCTTTGAATTCGGTCGCACCAGTGAAAACTGATGTTCAGATGATGCTATTTGAGGTCCAATTGGCCACAGATGTTAGATACGAAAGGGATGCAGCTAGGAACTGTTTCGGGAACCAGTTGCCAAATTCCAGCCCATTTTACTTGGAGTGACCCACCCTCAGAAATGTGAAGCTCACATATGCTGGGTGACATGCAAACTGACATACTGACAAACATGTTTCTTGGCATGCGCCATGACGTACGGTATTGGTTGGCAGACCTTTCAAGACATGCGCTCACGTACTTACGTACTGACGTATGCCTCATGGACTGACAAGCGCTTCGACACGCGAATCGTACGTTGCCTGACATATGAACAGGCATATGCACTGGCATAGATACTAACATCTGACGTGTTGCCTCACAGAGTTACCAACATGCAAACATATGGATTGACATGCATACTGACATGGCATTGGCATTTTTTGACATATTGACTGACATGTGTACAGGAATCTTGATTGACATTCCTCCTGATGTACATCTGACGTACTGACATACAAATGTGTGGAATATGTCCTGCCATTTTGACATACACATGTACATTTTGACATACACATGTGCTCACACTTGCTAAAACATTTCTGAGACCTTAACAAAGATACTGACATGCCTTCTTGCAAGCTGTCTGACATTTGTTTTGAGACCTATAATCGGGCGCCTGTAATGGCAAATGCCTAAATCTAAATGGCACATTCCTTGTATATTGACAAATATATTGACGTGTGCGCTGCATGTTCATTGACATTTAAACAATTTTAAACACATGCACTGAAAGGTCGGCTGACACGCTTCTTACAATCAGATGTTTGGTGTACTGATGCGCATGGATGCGCATGGTATTTTCCTACAGGGACATGTCGATTGACATCTGCCGTACATATTTAGCGCACGCGCAGCGTCCAGTCATCCACCAGAGTGCCATGGGTCGAAGATGGTCCCAAGAAGGTCAGGACAAGAGACACTGACAGCACTGACAAATCCAGAGGCCCCGACTTGACAAAACAAATCATTTGATCCACGCCCACGCCGCAGTCCTCGGCACTGCATTGCTGGTAGCCTGGCGCAACTCTTGCAGAGCCGAACGGCGGCCTCTCGCCAGGCACTTGGAGAGCTGAGGAAAGACATCCCACTCGCCGAGAAAAGAAACTTGGGCGCACAGCTGGCGTAGTTAACACAGGCTTTGCTGGAGAGCGAAATGTTTGTTAGAAACTGCGCGGTATCATAATTAACTCTCCAAACGCACAAGCAGAAAGGCCGGCATGGCAATGGATGGCTTGCAGACACATGGTCTTCTGACTGGATGGCAAGGCTCTTGTCTTCTTTTTACACTTCCTTGTCTCGCCTTTGGCTGAGAGCAAGGGGGAGAGCCAAGGAAAGATATCCCACTCGCCGAGTTTCAGTCCTTCCTAATCTCCAAATGGTACAACGGAGAGTTGAGCTGCACTTGAGTGGAGGTCTGGCCAACTGCTAGGAGGGTTTTCTTGGCTGCCTTGATGTAACCAAGCAGCAATCGTATCAGCATGCCGAAATATGGGTCAACTTGAGCATGAATTCCTTTGGGTGTGGCAACCTACACTGATTGGCGGATGCTAGAAATGCGGAGCTTGCAACGCTTAAAGCAGCATCATGCGACGTACTGCGGATTAGTTGAGGCTCCATCGGGTCGGTGTAGACTCATTCGTCCGCCTCGTGGCGTGCGAATGGCAGGAGATCATATCACGCTTCGGACGGAAGGCGATCCAACTAACTTATGGAAGGGCTCTAGCCAAAACTGGTTAAGCCAGCCGGCTGATCGCGATGACATGCCAAAACTTTCTGCGAAACGCTTCCCCAGGACGGGGCTTAAACAGCACGCCTCAGACTCGGAGAACGGGTATCTTGGGTACCTTGGGTACCTTGGGTCAGCTGGCTCTGCTCCTTCCATCCCTCATCATCTCTCAATGCTACTGCCACCAGTCAACTGTGGCCACAAGGGGGCGCCTGATGGACGGTAAGAACAGAGCAATCACAGGTTTCTACAGCCACAGAGTACTTGGCAGCCCTCATTGTACACACAGCTGGGTGAGAGGTT